TTTCCCGAAAAGACTAACCGTTTTTTAAATAACAAATATTGTAATATTTGAGGGACGTTTCACCCTCTTGGAATTTGAGATTCGAGAAACCCCTCCTTATCGAACCTCTACACCCCACAGTGAATCCGTTTGCCAAAAATCAGCTTTAAATGTCAAGCAGTTTAAGCAGAATTGTGATTACTCAATGGTCATTTTTATGAAACACCTTGTATAAATTTTTAAAAAAATCTTAAAATATGTAAAACAACAAAATAAAATAAACGTGTTTAATAGTTTTTCTGAAAAAAACTCACCGTTTTTTAAATAACAAATATTGTAATATTTGAGGGGTGGTTTCACCCCTTAGAATTCGAGTTTCGAAAAATCCCTTCTTATCGAACCTCTACACCTAAAGTTAATCCGTTTTCCAAAAATCAGCTTTTTCGTCAAGCGCTTTAAGCAGGATCGTGATTAATCAATGACCAGATTTTTCGAAACAGCCTCTATACATTTTTAAAAAATCTTAAAATATGCAAAATAACAAAATAAAATATATGTACGTGTTTTGAGTTTTTCCGAAAAACTCACTAGTTTTTAAATAAAAAATATTCTAATATTTGAGGCGTGGTTTCACCCCTTTAGAATTAGAGTTTCGAAAAATCCCTTCTGATCGAACCTCTACACCCTAAAGTCAATCCGTTTTTCAAAATCAGCTTTTTACGTCAAGCGCTTTAAGCAGGATCGTTATTAATCAATGACCAGATTTTTTGAAACACCCTGTATACATTTTTAAAAAATCTTAAAATATATAAAGAAACAAAATAAAATATACGTGTTTAAGCTTTTTTTGGAAACTTGACGGTTTTTTAAATAAAAAATATTGTAATATTTGAGGGGTGGTTTCACCCCCTTGGAACTGGAATTTCGAAAAATCCCTTCTTATCGAACCTCTACACCCTAAAGTCAATCCGTTTTCTAAAAATCAGCTTTTTACGTCAAGCGCTTTAAGCAATGACCAGATTTTTTGAAACACCCTGTATACATTTTTAAAAAATCTTAAAATATAAAGATAAGATAAAGAAACAAAATAAAATATACGTGTTTAAGCTTTTTTTTGGAAACTTGACGGTTTTTTAAATAAAAAATACTGTAATATTTGAGGGGTGGTTTCACCCCCTTGGAACTGGAATTTCGAAAAATCCCTTCTTATCGAACCTCTATACCTAGCAACCTGTATACCAAAACTGAGCTTCTTACGTTGAGTGGTTTGAGCAGGATCGTGATTAATCTGTGAGTCACTTAAGGATTTTATATATTAGTATAGATTACCTATAAGGGAAATATCATTGTTCGTGATTTCCAAACCAACTGAACTTTTTTCAAAAATCTCCGGAAGTGTTCAGATTTTTTAAACTTTTAAGGTGCTATTTTTGATCAAAATGAGCAACTATGGTTCTATTTATCTCTTCTAGTTTGCGAGATCCCAATGATGAGATTCGAATTTGGGACACCCTGTATAGGTTGGGAGTGTAATGTAATGAAAATGAGAACCACCTTTTTGGACCTTCTCTCACCTCATGACCATTTTTGCCCGCTATTTGTAGTTCGGCAACGACTACTGTTATTCAGTCGACGAGCGCCCTGTTTTTGTAAGACGGGCATTGCTCCTACACTGACCTATACTGGTAATTAACTGTTGCATAACCACAAAAACTCTACCAAATTATTTCGTATGCCTGATCGGGTCCGATATTTACCGGTATATTTTACATTCTCTACGGGGATTTTTGATCCCCAGTTATTTCCAGGAATTTCTTCAACTTTTTCGTTTTTCTATAAATGTTAAAACCATAAGCTGACTTAATTTAACCTTTAAAAGTTACAAGCGTATATCTAATTAGTAATAATAATAAAGATTATTTCAGTTGGGGTCGGAACCTTTGGTGTTACAACACCAAAATAAAACACTAATTCACCACAATACACTAGAATGTAGAATGTTTAGGAGGGGGGTTAATCACCGTGACCTTACAGATCTATTGTGTGTTCCACTTTTCTTGAGTTATAACGAGTTATAACTCATCATACAGTCCAAGGGCTTTGACAAAAGCCGGTATCTGAGATGGCTCCAGTGGCGGATACAGAGGGGGGCCATGGGGCCCGGCCCCTCCCCTCAAAATTTGTAATTTGGGTTAAATATTCGGCTTTTGGGTTAAAAATGGCACCCTAAAATGCATATTCTACATTACTTTTTATTTGGCCCCCCCCTAAAATAAATTCCTGTATCTGCCCCTGGATGGCTCCAAAGAAGCCAGCTCTCCATCTCTGGCATCAGGCGTACCAAAGTTTATGGCAGGAACGGTTGTCGCCTCGGCGGACTCAGCGATGAGGTGTTCTGGTATTTCCCCATTTTCCCCACAGAATCTGCATTCATTGTTGTTTCTCAGCTTCAATCTACTGAGGTGTTCGTTGAGGAGACGAACAATTGGACAACGTCGGGGTGTCCTGTTAGAGACCCCGTGACACTCCGAAGATTGTTCTTACTTAAAACAAGGAAATACTTTGATTTTTCTCGGTCGTAAAATTCTGAGAAATTTTTTCGACTGTCTTAGACCGTTGGAGGATTCTCATTCTAGATTACGGATGGAGTATTCCAGGTTCTTCTGCTTTAAGTTCCGCTTTAAGTTGGTTTCCACTTGGAAAGCAGAAAGGTTCAGTAAGTGGAGTGTTCGCTTCTTTTCTAGCTAGATCGTTTCCTTTTTCATTGCCTTCTATCCCTCGGTGAGCGGGCACCTAGAGTAGGAGTACTTTATTTTCTTTGCCTAATTTGTTCAGCTTCTTTAAGTATTCTTTGACCAAGTTCAAATTGATGGTTACTAAGTTGATCGCTTTTAGTGCTGCTTGACTAATACACTAAACACTTTACTTTTGCACCGAACTTGCGTTTCACTAGTCATGTTAGCATCATGAGCAGATGATCAAATTTGTTAGTCTTAATCATTTGCTGGTGATGTAATCATGTTTAGCGAAACACGCGTTCGGTGCAAAAGTGAAGTGTTTTGGTGTATTGTGGTGAATGAGTAGTTTATTTTATATACAATAAATATTATTTACATCGTGAAGTTTTGGTGTTATATTGCTATAATTTGGATGTTACATTTACTATTTAAATCAGAGCAATCAAAACTCTTTGGTGCAACTTCTTATCGACTGAAGTGTCGCTTGCCGGTAGCGGCTAACGCTTGACGTTTAATATAATCATTTTTCATTTAATGAATAATAAAATTTCGGTATTTTTCATTTTTTTTTCTCTCATTTATAGGTTAAATGCTAACTAAAATTCAAAATTTGAAGTTATAATTTTGATGATCGGTGAGTGTCTCACTGGCGAAAATAAAGATCTTTGACTAGCGATAATTTCGACATTTAAAGCAGTCAAAATTTAAAAAAAATGGGAATCACTAAAAAAATTGAAACCAAAACAATAAATAGTATATTGATTTATTAAGAGTAAAAATGACACTATTCGCGGCGAGGCTATGTACTTTTTACTTTTGACCTTCCGACATACAGCCGAGGCACATAAAGTCATTTTTACTCCGAATAGAACATGCTATTTTTTTCAAACGCCATATATAAGTTCTTAAACAATTTCAAACGTTCGAAATAATATACTTACTATAAAAAGATTTATAAGTCATACATTGGGGGGGGGGGGTCAGTTTAATAATTTAAAATATATTATATTTTCGTACTTTTTTGCTTAGGTGTAAAAGTGCTTTACTTCACCTTTACTTTTATGCCTAGGCGTTAAAATGACTTTTTTATATTATATCAATCACGTCCCAAAAATTAATACTTTTGTGACGTTTGAAAAAAAGTCATTATTGCCATTTTGTGACGACCGGATAGTTAGTTGTCAGTTTTCAAGCAACGGCTAGACGCTGGACTTTTAATAACCATTATTTTTCATTTGAAAGAAATTTGACTAGTGATAAATCATAAACTATAAGGTATAATTATTAGATATATCGCAATTATTGTTGGTTTTCATATTATAATAATAAACGAGATGAAATTGTTAATTTATTTCTCATTGTAATGGATAACTAATAAGATGTTGACCGTCTGGAGCTTTACACGCTTCTTGGTTTCTGGCATTTTAAACTGATGTGATATATCACATTAAATACGATATAATTTAGCCTAATTAAAATGTATTCACAGTGGGTAACTTTAGTGACCCATATCGTCATATATGGTCGATTTTATGTACAAGAATACTATCTGCTGTAATCAACTCGAAAAAGACTTCACGACACAAATACAATATACATACATCTACGTTACAGACAGACGGTACGGATTTGCATAAGAAAAGTGTTTACAACACGCGAACTTACAAACAAGGCAATTGGGAGTACGAGATCCGCTCGATAAATCACTGACTCGGACCTAGTTTGACAGCTGTCAGCTGACGTTATCTGTTCTCTGCTCGTGTAACATAAACAGGAAAAATGTGGGTTCCGTATGCATATACGACTGCTAATTGGGTATTAAGTAGCGACTTTTAGGTACTGTTAAATGCCGGAGCGATAATCTATCAACAGTAATTTGGTAGCGGTGTTATGTTTTGAAATTGGTAATATTAAAACTCAATACGAGTATACTCACGTTCTTTTGTAAATAGTTCTTTATTAGTAGTTTCAGTTTTTGAAACATTTAATAATCAAAACATGTTACAAGTAACTGTGACAATTTTGCGCCATGTCACATCATATTAGGTATTATGCAAATGAGAACTGATAATTTTGTCAGATTAAGATGATAAGTCTATGAAAATTATAGAGGCATCTGGTGTGACCAGTACAATGGGGAGACTGTAGGGTGTAATTCTGAAAAACGAGAATTGAATTGGAATGCCAAGAACCGGAGGAACAAAGTAGTTTTTGCGCAGGAACTAACGCAACTCACTACAGGAACTAACGTTTACAAATACAAATATACTTCGTTTTTCTTACCTCCCCTATAATTCCTATTTCTGTTATCCAAATTTGATGGTTTATTAGCATACTGCTCCTTATTTTCGCTAGGTGCATAGTGACTCAACATTCTATGACCCACTGGATTCAAATAAGCACTAAAAATATATTTTATCTAAAATAATAATCTAAAACAATAGTCACAACAATTAACTGACCTTTGCGTAGCTGGTGCCATTCCAATTTGAGACCTCCAATCCCTATTGGCTTGCGGATTTAAATCTTCAGGTTTGAGCACTCTAGGAGGATCCTTGGCACCTTTTAACTTTCTTGCCTGGAAAATGAATCCTTTGCTGTACTTTGGATTCCTGAACCTAACACAAACTACTTGATTTTCATATAGTGTAGGCAGACCTTTCACTGGGGATGTTAAGGACGTTCTAGAAATATATTAGTCACTTTTCTACGGTGTTAACCACTGCCGCACAAGCTGCGTGAGTGCTGCTAGAGTCGGTGTACTAAAAGAAGAATGTGGGATCTGGATATGGCGGAATATGGGAGTTTGACTCCAAAAATAAGGAGGGCTCTAAGAGATATAGAGGTATATATCTGCTCGGGAGGTAAACCGTTAAAAGCTACAAAAAAAGCCTACAACACTTACTTACTTACTGTCATTACTCTCTGACGAGTATTTGACACGCATCAGAAGATGGTTCCGCAAAGCGTTTTCTTTTATGAGCTTTTCTGTGACTGAAAGCCCGATACGTGATGTTATCTCTCTTCCGCACTCCGGACAATCAAAAATCTCATTACTTTATTGTCTCTTTACTTTTTGGTTGTCGTTGTTAACTGAGTTTACAATTCTCCTCCACTGCGTTCAATTATGCGCTGCTTCTTCCCACTGATTCTGCAATCTTATCCTGTTTAAGTTTTCATGGAAAATAACTTTATACATTTGAGTTGTCCACCCGGTTTCCTCTTACCGTCTACAAGCTCACCGTAAAGAAGAGCTTTCGATAGACTTTCGGTAGGTTTTCGTGCATTCTGCATACGTGACTAGCCCATCTTAGGCGGGATTTAGTAATCATGACTTCAGCGGTCTCACAGCTAGCTTTTTCGAGGGCCAATACGTTTGAGATATGGTGGTGACCATTTGATTCTTAACAGTTGTCTAAGATGTCTCTGTTATAAATTATATATATATAAATTATTCTGTGTGCCGGGCCACAGCGGCATCCAAGGCAATGAAAAAGCCGATGAGCTAGCTAGGCAGGGATCATCGGCATCCTATCTTGGTCCAGAGCCAGTACTGGGAATACCCAAACGTATGGCCCGTAGTGCACTAAAACTCTGGATCAAGGAAAAGCACAATGTCCACTGGAGAAACAGACAGGGGCACAGGCACAGCAAGGCTTTTATCCAAGGACCTAGCTCTAAAACCGCAAAAGAACTGCTAATGCTTAGCAGGAATAAAGTGCGGATTACAACAGGCCTCTTGACAGGACACATGGCTGTCAAGTGTTATCTGAACAAGCTCAACCTGTATCAAGGAAGTCTTTGCTGCAGACTCTGCGATAAAGATCCTGAAACAGCGGAGCACATAATATGTCATTGCGAGGCTCTGGATCGCAAGCGACACTCTTTATTTGGGAAAGCTAGGCTAGAACCGGAGGAACTATGCTCCCATCCTATCAAGGACCTGCATAAGCTAGTGCAGGGCACAGGGATAGGAGAATGGGTGCAGATATAGAAGGGGGACAAACACAATAGGCCTCACAGGTCGCAGTGTTTCCGGCAGAGGACGGCCCCTTGTTATGGAAAAAAAGGTGTCACTGTTGCAACTTGTTTAATGCGCTCATGTGCCGGCGATACAGCACCCAGGTTTCGTTTCCATATAACATGGTGGGGATTATTATTGCTGGATACAATGCAAGTTTCGATTTTGTGCTCAAGTCATGATTGTAGAAAACCTGGTTTTTTAATTTCTTGAATTCTCTTGAGGCGCTGTTAATTCTGTGCTGAATTTCAGAGTCGATATTGGCCTTTTCCGAAATCAAACTGCCAAGGTAATTGAATTCCGCTACATATTCCAAAATTTCTTCTCCGATTTTTATAGCATAGCATAGTTATGATTTTCCGGGGGAGTGTACATGATTTTAGTTTTATATCGATATTCAGCTTAATCCCCAAAACCTCGTATGCCCAGGTATATGTTCAGCATTTCTGTGCTGTGACGTTGCAACTAGAGGGCCAAATCAAGTCTAAAATCCAACAGGTATTACACCGGAAGAAAAATTGTCTGGTATGGACATGTAATGAGAGCTAGGGAAGACCGATGGTCAAAAAGAGCCATAGAATATGCTCCCAAAAATCGAAAAAATGAAAAAGACATGGTCTATTAGATAAGATGAATGACAATACAGAGACTGTAGAACCTCCGCTGTATAGTAGTAGTAGTGATAGAGCTACTGAGAAAATGACTAATGATAAATTAGATACCGTTCTCTGTATATCTGGTCGGCAGAGTGTGGGAAACTGAAAGCATATAGGTCCCATTAGAATCCATGGACATTTTTCTCCGGGAGAAGCATTTAGTCTAAGCCACATCTAATCTAAAATAGTTTGACAATGTTGACATAGAGAGCCAACCTTATTTAGAGGTAAGTAAGTAGCCATGGGGTCTTCTGTAAATCGACAATCGACCACAGTAGAATGGAATTAATCCAGCTGTACATGTTGCATGTTTTACTGATTAGAGCAATCGCTTTTTTATTTCTTGAATGGTTAGCCGATAATTTTTTTCCATGATTTTCCTCATATGAGCGAAAACAGAATGAAGATCATAATCTATACTAATATATAAAATCCGTAAGTGACTGACATACTGATTAATCACGATCCTGCTCAAACCACTCAACGTAAGAAGCTCAATTTTGGCATACAGGTTGATTCTAGGGTGTAGAGGTTCGATAAGAAGGGATTTTTCGAAATTCCAGTTCCAAGAGGGTGAAACCACCCCTCAAATAATACAATATTTTTATTTAAAAACGGTCAAGTTTCCGAAAAACGCTTAAACACGTATATTTAATTTTGTTTTTTTACATATTTTAAGATTTTTTAAAAATGTATACAGGGTGTTTCGAAAAATCTGGTCATTGATTAATCACGATCCTGCTTAAAGCGCTTGACGTAAAAAGCTGATTTTTGGAAAACAGATTGACTTTAGGGTGTAGGGGTTCGACAAAAAGGGATTTTTCGAAATTCCAGTTCCAAGAGGGTGAAACCACCCCTCAAATAATACAATATTTTTTATTTAAAAAACGGTCAAGTTTCTGAAAAAACGCTTAAACACGTATATTTAATTTTGTTTTTTTACATATTTTAAGATTTTTTAAAAATGTATACAGGGTGTTTCGAAAAATCTGGTCATTGATTAATCACGTTCCTGCTTAAAGCGCTTGACGTAAAAAGCTGATTTTTGGAAAACAGATTGACTTTAGGGTGTAGAGGTTCGACAAGAAGGGATTTTTTCGAAACTCGAATTCTAAGGGGGTGAAACTATCCCTCAAATATTAAAATATTTTTTATTTAAAAACCGGTGAGTTTTTCGTAAAAACTCTTAAACACGTATATTTTGTTTTGTTGTTTTACATATTTTAAGATTTTTTATAAATTTATACAGGGTGTTTCATAAAATATGACCATTGAGTAATCACGATTCTGCTTAAACTGCTTGACGTTTAAAGCTGGCTTTGCTAAAATTTTTGGCAAACGGATTGACTGTGGGGTGTAGAGGTTCGATAAGGAGGGGTTTCTCGAATCTAAAATCCAAGAGGGTGAAAACGCCCCTCAAATATTACAATATTTGTTATATAAAAAACGGTTAGTCTTTCGGGAAAACGCTTGGACAAGCATAATTTATTTTGTTTTTTTACATATTTTGAATTTTTTAAAAAATCATACAGGGTGTTCCAAAAAGTTGGGTAATTTCTTAACCACGATTGTGCTTAAACTGCTTGACGTAAAAAGCTTATTTTTGGCAAACGGATTTTTCGAATGTCAAATTCCAACGAGATGAAACTACCTCTCAAATATTACCAAGTTATATAATAATATCGCCATATTGTTTTTTCTCATGCTGACATAAATGTGAGAAAATTTTATCCAGTTTGTATGTTAATGGAAATGCTTGCTTTGCTTTATCATCACCATTACAAATGATTAATTCGACGCGAACGAAGTCGCTGGTACACCCTAGTTTGATATAAAAGGAAATACAGTAAATCCGTCCATGATATTTAAGAATGAAATCAAATTTCAAGGAAAATACTATGATGATGTGCATACACATATCAGTTTACTTGCAACTTATTGATTAATATAATTATTATGCTAATAATGTAACTCATTCAGCTTAACTAGTTTTCTAATTACTACAAAAAATTGTGTGAAAAATATCGAATGCAAGTTCTTGGAAAAATTCAACGGAATCCAAGAATGTTTGCATTAGTTTTATTTATGTAATCCAAACAAAACATTAAAATGTGTGTCACTGCATACGAGTGTACGGTTCATTGAACTTTGCCGACGACCAAACTCAAATGCCAAAAATATACAGCAGAACAACTTTCCAAAATTAAAATCGCAATAATTTACGTTTATTGGTTTCTCGGCGAGTTGTAAAAATAAGGGTAATTATTTTTTATCGGCAGAAGTGTCTGCTATGTAAATATTGCTTTAAATTTATTATTATTAAACAATTTTTGAACAGTTACCCGAAGCGAGTTTTTTAGTTAATGGTTGGCAGGTGACGATGAGTGGAGCAGATCATTTTTTGTATTACTTTTGGGCTTTTGTATTATTGTACGTGAGAAAAGTAAAGTGGCGTTTCTTACAGTAAGAACTTACCGATATAATGGTAAGTTATCTTTTTACTGCTTTTACATTTTTATATATATATATATATTGTGTATTCTATTTTTTTAATATGATTGAATGAAAAATTCTAATATATTTAGACTATACATCTTTTGCACATTATCTCGTCTCGTTCACCAGACCTAGTAGATGGAGTGATAGTATTAGGTGTATAGAGTCGAAGACGCAGAAGTTGCAAAGTTTACGATGGACTTATGGTCTGTCAATTTACTCTATTTGAGAGCTAAGCGGCCCTTTCGAAGATGCCGGAGAGTTCAATTCTAATGTTTATTTGGAAAGAAAATTTTATAAGGGCTATATTTCTTATCAAAATGCCGCAGTACCTTGAAAAGAACAAATGCATGAAGGACAATTACATTGTGGATATACAGGGTCCGGCAAAAGCGAGTCGGGCAT